TAAAAAGTTTGTATTTTTATATTATACGAAAATCCAGTATGTTACATTAAGAGCCCGGCCGCGAGCGTGTGACTATCGGTGGGCAGTGGGCGAGGGTCGCAGATGGTGGCCCATCGTGCAACCCTTGGACGACTATCGGGTGGCGACACGAGTCCCATGGGCTCCTGGCAGGCGGGGATGCGAGGCGCGACCTTGGGGGACCGGTGCACAACAGCCCTTGGACGACTATGGGAGGGTGGCACGAGGCCCATGGGCACCTAGGAGACGGGGTTGCGAGGCGTGACCTCGGGGGACTAGCGCGCAACAGCACGGACTGTTGTGCAATAGTTTACCATGGGACCCATAGATAGAAGATGTCCCGGTGTCTCTTTTTTTAGGGTAGAGGAATTTGTTTTTGAGAAATATGGAAAAAATTATAGTGATTTTTAAAGATAGAGGATGAGACGAGAAATCCGGTGGAGATGCTCTTGTTATAGAAACTTGGGGGGTCCTCAGAAATGCAACCATTGGTGTTCAGTAAGGGTATATATACTCTCTCCGTCCTGTAATACAGTGCATTGTAGCATTCAAAAATTATCCTCAAATATAATGCATTCTAGAAAACAAAAACTAATTTTACATTAAATAATTTCCATTTATCAACCCATTACCATTAATCACGTTGATGATAGCGTCTGATTAGGAAATAAAATGAGGGTACATGCATCTTTTATGTTCTCTCTTCATTTGTCTTAAAATTCTTAGAATACACTATATTACAGGATAGAGGGAGTAGCTACTAATCAAGTTCGCTAAACAAAATTAGCCACTACTCGAAGGGTTTCGGTATTAAACAAGTTGGTGTTTAGGCGCCAGCTATGCAAGTGAATCGATATTAAACAAATCTGCTGTGGGAATTAGGGGATGAATAAACAAATGCATGCATGTAAGACCAGAGCAGCTCTAGCTAGTTTCAGCGTTCCTGGACCACGTTATGCTGGTGCGGATAGATTTTGTCTCAGCAGTTTAGTTTCATGCGTGGCCTGTGTCTGCATATTCTTCCGTTAGTTAGGCTAAATACATAGACTAGTGACCTGATCTCGTGCAACTCGCTTTGACTGTTCCTGTGCCGTTTGCTAGTTTGTTTGTGCTATTTGGCATTCCATGAGCTCACGGTTCACTGTCCACTGTACCTAGCTAGCCCTCTACATATACCAGCACAGTTTGCTAGAGTAATGCACAGCTGATGTTATAATTTCAAACTGGAGCAGTCTTGGCTTGCGTCAAGGCCTCTGTATGAAAAACTATTGGTTAAGGTTGACTGCATTGCAGACAAATACATTCAGGTATTAACCTGAAAATCCGCAACATTTGAGATATCCATACTATACAAGGACATTGACAGCTCGTCTCGGTGTAGCTGTTACAAGAATACCAATCTGGTCTGCATGCTTTATAAGTCTAAGATGTTGGAACTTAACGTTAAGCTGTTGACGCAGCTTCAAATCAAAAGAAGAAAAAGGCTAACTGAAGCACCACTTGTTCACTGTCTCTCTGCTTATGCAGTGACCACCACTTGTTTGACTGACCGACTCCACGACCACGATTGAAGAAAAAACAAACTAAAATATGCTACAATGACTAACAAACAAAAACGTTTGTTAATTTGTGCCTAATTCCTGTCTCTGATCAAGGGCAGCAAGCCAAGTGCGACAACATGAAACTGATGAAAGTGATGTAGTTCTGGCACCAAGAAGTTTAAGTCGTATGAAGTAGCTAGAATACCAAGTACAATGTTTTTGCCTCTTCTTTTTAGCACGAGACAAAATGTGAGATTGAACTATATGGCAACGATTGTGGATTCAACATCATGGCTAACTATGAGATTGAATGTGTACCTACATGGTGGCGACTGTGAATCGAGTATCGTTTTCATTGCAGAAAAATGGTGTGCCTGCTGTGATTGGAGTGAAAGGGATATTTAAGTGAACAGAAAACGACGTACCACAAGGGGAAAAAATCATATACAACACGCAAATGAGGTTAAGCATACGAGTTGCGTGTTAATTATTAGGCAATTGACAAGATGTGGAAAGGAGGGGAAATGCAATGACGACACGAGAGTGGAAGAAATAGTGGCTGAGGGAGATGAATTGCATTGGAGATGGAAAAGACACGGCTGACGAATGGCCAAAGCCTTGTACCATGCAAAATAGATGATCCTGAAACAGCCTCCAACAATACTAAATTGATGAATCACTCTAATTTTTTTGACAAATGTACTTTCTGGGCCACATGGAAATTTTTATGGAGCATATGGGCATTGCAAAGGATAGCTCACTTAGGTGGTGTTCTTGACTGGATTCTCCCATCCTGCTCCAAACACCATCATGTGTTCCTTTGCACACAGCACTATAAGTGGTTATGGAAAGTTACAAACTCTCTATGGCTCCTCCCTCCCATCCCAAATGCATGTTTTACACATAACTATACAAGTTTGTCATGACATCAATGCATCTTTGGCCTCATCATTCTTTTATGTATGCCTCTACTTAAATGCACCCGAATGAATGTAGTAAAGATATGCCACCCATCTTAGCTCTAACAACATTTAATGGATGTAGCTCAAATAGAATTAGGGCCTGTTTGGTTCCAAATAAGTCACCTACTTATAAGTTAAAAAGTGAAAAAAGTGACTTATTTTGCCAAACACCGCCAACTTATAAGTCACCCCTGCTTATAAGTTTTAAGTTGGTTCACCCCTGCTTAAAACTTATAAGTCACCCTTTTTCGCGTGGGGTCCACACCTTTAATGAGCTTATAAGTCATCTACAACCAAACAGGCATGACTTATAAGTCATTGGTTTTCAGTTACCTGACTTAATAAGTCACCTGACTTATGGAAACCAAAGAGGCCCTTATATTAAATGGGAGTACTACGGTACATAATTTGTGACTACATTTACTCCCCTGTGAAACAATACTTCTAATCCAATCAAAATTAGCCATTTTCATGGAATTTCTAAGATACATGACTTGAGTTAATGATGATAAATTTGGCTTCTTTCCAATGGAGTAAACTTCTTTATCAAGTATGGGTGGAACTTCTAGGATGTGCACTGCTATGTGGACATATTAAATGTCGTATGCAGAGATGGATAAAGTGTGCCTAAAATCAAAGGATGTCTTGGGTGTATTTGGGATTTGGCTTTACCTCCCCCCTGCTCATCGCAACAAAGGGCCCTTTTGGTAGGGATCCAGATTTTCGTAAAAATGTTTTGGATCTTTATTCTCTCAGGAAATGTTCTGGATGACGAATCAGAATCACTAGATGTTTGGTTGTACGCTGGATGGTAATTTTTTTTAAAAAAATATATTTTCCGTTAAAAAACCGTATGAACGAAAATATGCTTGAAAAAAATTTCAACTTTTGTGGGCGAAGAACAACTTAAGTACAATCTACTTAAAAGGGATTAACTGAGAAATGTGACATGAGAAGGAAGAACCAGAATAACTGCGAAACCATGTTTTCACAGATTCACGTACGTAGCAACAATCTGTGAATCCTTTTGAACTCCTTTGAGCAGAAACGTTTCACCGGTGTGCTGTTTGGCTCGGATTCTACTGATTCTCGTAAGAACTGGGAATGATTCATGGTGCCAAACACACCCAAAGGTTCTCATAGTTTCTCTTGTGTTGTGTTTCTGTAGGTGCAAAAGACAACCTTTAGGTCTCCAAGCAAAATCCAGAGTATGGCCCAAATCTTCAACAAAGCCTAAAAGATAAGGCCCAAATCCAGAGTATGGGATGAAGGCTTAAATAAAAAAGCCAAGAAGGGAGCTTAGAAGCGAAGACTCAAGGTGTAATCGGGCCTTGACGAGCATACATTGCGACTTTAGAATAATGTATAGTTAATATAAAGATGTTGTTGTCCCTAAATATTTCAAATGTAGTTGTTAGATTGGACAAAGATTTCCTCTATATAAATAGGGTGACACTGTAATGGACAAGGCAAAAGTTCTCTTATGTTGAAAATCCACACATTAAAAGTTATTGCAATATGAATCCTTTATTTCAATCCTATCTTTGCATCTCTATCCTATTTTTGCATCCCTGTGGAAATGTAACGGTGCTTATCCTTGAAATTGGGTATCATTTGAAGCAGTTCACAGGCAAACTAACAAAAAATTGTCGAACCCCTTGCTTGGGTTGGACCCCTTCAGGGTGTGTGCATCATTAGGTTACCCAAGGCTATCCACAAAGCCTATAGCATGCCTACAGTCATTGGATCAAGAGATGAATACAAACATAGGTTCAAAGAGAAATTTGAGTTTGAGGCTAAAGAGTACAAACATAAATTGATTTGGTTTTACTAGTTGTGTATCAATTGTCTACGGTTTTTCATATTCATATGTCTTGTGTGATATCAAGTTCAAATGTATTAGAACAATCTTTAAACCAACCTCAAACTAATTACTTCAACAAAACCAAACCATCTAATTTTTCTGTTTACTATAACTTTCACATCTGCACTACAAATCCGGTGATCTACATGTTTCTTTCCATTGTCTCAATGAGAGCTACACAATGGTGGACTCTACATCATTTAGGCATTATCCAAAATCGAGTACTTTGGTTTTGGAAACTGGATAGTCCGGTTTTTTACCTTTTTAGACTATCTAGTGTTCAAAATTTGGCCAACAACAACGAGATAACCATTTTAAGTAAAATTTAGCAAAGTTCATGTGTTTCATGAACACAAATTACAAGTAGCACTGCATGGATGTAAGATTCCAAGTCCATATTAATACATACACAATATCTCAAATTTGAGAACCATGCATGATTAGACTATCTTAAAATGAAATTCAGATGAAAGTTACAAGAGGCTATTGCCCATTTCATTATTTGTTTTTATTTTAAGAAAACTTTCTTATCACTACTTTAGTATAAACTTTGGGTTTGTCTTGATGACTGGTGGTTTGATATCTTAGGGTTGTCGCCGCCTTCCAGGACTCTAATCATGCATCGCCAACACCGAGGAAATCAAAGAATGGTGGGGTGAACTTGTCACCACCCTTGTCGGTGGCTAGCGATGGGGTAGAAAAGGTGGAGCGCATGGTTGCTTTGAAGTTGGCTGCAGTGGGTGTCCTGGCATGAGGGGCCATGTCGGAGCCACCTATGTAGGCAAACAGAACAAAAATCACATGTTAGTAATTTGTTGGAGGCACACCATGTGAAACCATGAGGGAGAGCAAGAAGCAACAAAGCCTACTCTAGTAGATGCAAGGGATAGTACCTCCTATAGAGAGGTGTCTTGTGTTGGTGGACATGGAATTGTTGAATTCGTTGGCATGGTAAATGTGGGTTGCAGTCATTGCCTCTATTGGGACATCGAGCTGTGAGTGCATATTGTTGCCATAGTTGTGGTAGATGTTGATGGCTGGCATGAAGTGTGGCGATCCTTTGTGTCGATGATGAGGGGTAGGATGAGGATGAGATCTTAATGTCTTGGATTGCACGGGACTTATGTGCCATCATGACATGCCAGTGGTTTTTGACAATGTTGTCAGTGCGGCCAAGGAAGAGGCAAGAGATAAGGAACCACTTGGTTCCATATGCATGGCGCACCACTAGCAGTCGCTCCTCTTCCTCCTTGGAGAATGCATCTCGGTTAAGTTGTGGATGTTTCCTGTTTCATTAATTGGAGTAAAGATCGTGATTACTCTCTAACAATACTCAAACTTTTGGGAGAAGCTAAATATCTTTGTAGTGTTTGAGAAATCATACCTGATCTGCCTTCAAGCTTCTCAGCAATGCGGCGCCAATTCTTGGGGCCGTACTGTGCAACCAAATCTTTTAGTTTTTCATCCTCAGAAGGACGCCAGTGACCCCTCGCGATGTGCTTCCCTTGATTAGAGCTACCATCATGGCCAATACTAGCGTCATGCTCCTCCACATGCTCATCGTAAACCTCCTCTGCAATGAAGGCATGCTTGTTTCCCTCTTGGAATGGAACCAAAGCCTGTGTTGGTGGTAGAGCAGGGTTGAAGTGATCCATTTTGGATCCAAGGCTTGGGTAGTTTCTTGTTGTGATTGCTTCCATAGACGAAGTGGTTGTTTATATTGGCGAGGACGAGGGTTTTTGCTACAATAGCCTCAATGAAATCAAGCAGAAAATAAATTCTTACTTCCTTTATTCACCATAAATACATTCTTCTTTTAGGTTCAATCACCGGTTTTTCGGGTCCTGCCATACAATTTTTCTGGCCATTGAATAGGGATGCGGCTTGGCTATGGACACCTCTTCTTCTTCACATGAACTCTCTCTCTCTCTCTCTGTAAGGATCTCTAGATAGATAAACTAGGGTGAATAGCCAAATTAAAAATTCCTAAAAACAATAACACTTGGAAAAATTAATTAGTAATAAAGAAGGCCCTAATATAATAAGCACTACCTCTCGCTATTGGTTAACAAGCCTAGGGTGAACAACCATACAATCTAGTGATCAAGGAAAGAGCAACTAAAGATATGTCACTCGAAAGGTAATCTAAGCTACACAAACACCTTAGCAACAAGAACTACAAGCTCAACACTAGGAATTGTAAATGCACTAAAGTAAAGCACAAGTGTTGTCGGTGTTTTGTAAACCGGACTAGTAAATTTATACGATTGCCATGCTGCTCTAGGAATACGATGGTGGCATCCAAAACACATGATGATTTATACTGGTTTAGGCCAGAGCCCTACGTCCAGTCTCAGAGATGATCGAGTACGTGTTCCTCGCTTGAATACTCTAAAGTTCTTATAATGGGGGGTGCAAGAATGGTGGAAGAGGTAGGAGAACTAGAGCTAGGAGACTGGCTGCCCGAAGGAAAGCTTCAGGAGCCCTTCTATGGTGTAAGAATGAGTGAAATGAGCTTGGATCCCCAAGATGGGTGCCTTGGCTGCCCTTATATAAGTTTGGGGCCAGGGCATATACAAAGAAGAAGGTTCTCCCGACCGAAGGGTCGTGAGCCTGAGGGAGGTCCTAGCTAACTTGGCTTGCAGGCTGCGCCGTCTTGTGTTGCAGTCTTGGCGTGGTTGTCATCACTGTCCTGTGGCCACATCGTGACATGGTGTGATGTGGTGCTACTGTGCTGGCCGTGGTGGGACTATAGGCACGGTGGTGGCTCACCATCCATCCTGTGTGACATGGTCTCCACCGTGGTATTTGTCATCGACTCCGGGTTTCCTAGGGGCATCGTACAAGAGTTGGTAGCCGCCCCCAAGTCGTCGATCACCCGGTTGGCTTATGGAGTTGATGGCCACGATCCTGAGCATCGGGGTCATGGCTCCCGCCGCTCTGGGTGGCCTCTAAGTCAAGGCCTTCATCATGAATCCCATCCCATAGTGGGTATGATCGTACACGTGCCTTGTCGGGCTGTATCTGGCCAGTGGGCACTATATCGGCCATCAATGCTTTGGGCGGTGTTGTCTTGCCTGAGCTACATGGTGCAGGGGTGGCGTCTGACCGGACCGAGGTGATCGCTGTCCCCTTGGTCCTTGTGGGGTCAGTGCGGCATGCCTGCTCTTGTCAGAGCGGGCACGTTTGGCTTGGATTGACCTCTCCCCATTCCTCCTAGGGGTGGGGACGGTGGAGAGGTCGTGAGTCTCTTGCGCATCGTGCGGCTAAGGCAGAAGGAGGGGTCACAGTTGACCCTAACCTGGGCGTCAAGCCTGTTCTGCTTGGCTTAGCTAGGCCTTGGTCATTTGGGCCTTTGCTAACTGATGTGTCATGGGCCGCTTGGCCGGCTAACTAATCGTTGGCTTGAGATACCCAGGGATCGTAACCTCGATAGTAGCCCCCAAGCATTTTTGTGATCACGAAGTGATCATGAAAGCGCTGAGATGCGTGCGTATTTGAGTGCTGGTTCGTAGTCGTGGCTTGTTCGAGCTTTGCCGTTCGACCCCTTGCGGGTTGATGCATTCAATGTGGTAGGTGGCCATTATGTTCCGCTACGTTAAGACGTCCTGACAATGCAGTACGCGACTGTTGAGCGCAGCTATGTCAGTGTGTTGCGTATCAAGGTTTATGACCTAGGTAGGCATCTGACATTGGCTATGACCTCCCATGGCTCGCCACGCTGCGTGGGGGTCTGAGGCTGCTCAATATGCCTTTGGTCCTATAAATAGGGCCTTTCTACCGCTTGAAGCACTCATGACCATGACTACAAACTATTCTTGGCTTCTCTGGGTAGTGCGGTGCTGAGAGAGTGAGGAAATGAGAGGGAAAGCTCGAGGGGAATCGTGCGGTTCCCGTTATGCGTCCCACTAGGGGTCGCTGGTAGTACCCAAAAGCTAGTGGTGCCCCTTCAACAACTGGTGCTAGAAGGTGTCTTGCGAGCAGGGGAGGATTGAGGCGATGTTCAGGCCAACCGCAAGCCCTCGTGGTTCTAGTGCTTCCCTAAACCCATAGGTTTTGGGTCACTGAAACACGGGCACCAAGGGCTTCAACCAACTGCTCCCAGAGCTGCCTGTGGTTTGGAGGAGGCATTGCCGTCCCTTGGTGTCCCCATCATTCTTTCTGAAGCATGATGGTGGTGGTCTGCAAGCTTGATCTCGCCCCGTCCTTTGTTCCCGCGCCTTTCTACCCTAGAGGTTGTGGTGCTCTGAGAAGGGACATGGGATGATTGCTCTTCTCTTCCCTTCAGCACTTGTAGCAGGTGCCTCTAGGGACCCTGATGGCGCTGCCTAGGTGGTAGTGTCATGGTTCAATACTTTCTCAAGCGTTTCGATCGCTCTTGTACCTTTGGGGATTTAAGTGAAAAAATGTTCTTTTTGGTATGTTTGGGTTTCCTTTGTGCCTGTCATGAGCCCTTGAGCCACGGGGTCGGGGTGTGGCTCTGGCTTGATGCGAGAAGATGTTTTCTCGACCTCTTTTTGCGCGTTCATGAGATTTTTTGCGATCGTGCTTTGGCTCGTAGGTCTTGGACCTTCTTATATCTTCCACGTGACCGAGTTGTGATCACGCATTGGGCCCCGCATTGCTTTGTATGGAAGACATCATTGCATTACCTAGGTTGTCTACTTCGTTGATCTCTCCTAGAGAGGTCATGGACCTCTGCCCATTTTGTGATCCTTTAAGGCTAGCCTTAGGTCGTTAGACCTAGAGATGCCGGGAGGAGTTTTGGTCGTGGACATGCCTCAACTCTTTTATGGGGTCACGAGGACTTGACTCCTATTTTTTCTTGGCATCCCTACCGACCCCGAGAGGTCATGATGCCCTGTTACAAGCAAGTTTGGTTTCAGCCCACACGGGGAGAGGCATGTCCACCGTAACCATGTGGTCGGAGCGGCGCGCCTCATCGGGGTCAATGCATAATCTGAGCAGGACCCGATATCCTCCCCAATCGATGTGGAGTTCGGCCGTGCCTTATTGAGAGACGTCCTATAAATCATTGTCCATCAAACCTGTTGGTCTTCGACCGCCTCCGCAGCGGTCAGAGGGTAAGATGCCTCCCCCCAGAGGGGTCAACCCGGGAGACTTCGAAGCGGACGACTCAGACACAGAGTGAGATGGTCACATGGCTCTGCACCACCGATTAGAGCCACAGGGGCCCAACTCACCAGCCCCTATCCCTTTGCGGCCTCGAGTCCATCTAAGGACTGGCCCAAGAGTGGGTTTCCTAAGCGCGATGTGGGGTCATGGTTACGATGGGTCACTCTTCACACGATCTTGGGGTGAGGTTGGCCTCCACAGTCATGTTGTGGCATAATGGCGCCCACTCGTGAGCAGTCATGTGCCATGGAATGCGGGCACGTAAATTGAAATGATATGGAAAAAGTGGGGAATCAAGAAGCTTACTTGGTTCATGTCGCTACATGGGCAACCGTTGCTCCGCCTTCCCTCTGATCGCTTCACCTGCTTTGTGGGCTTTTCCAAGCAGTTAGTAAATGTGAGTGAATGCGCGTGCACCTTAAGTGTCCTCAGTGGCTATAAATATGCTTAGAGTGGTACGGCCGAAGAGGCATTTGCTTTGAGTCGCCTGCTCCACCACTTCCCTATTCTTGCCCTCACGCATTCAGAGTCCTCTCCTCACTGGCCGGGATGGATCACGGCAAGCGACCACGGGAGGAGTCATCGGAGGCCGGTGGGCCATCATCGCATCTTCGTGTCTATCTATGCGATCAGGGGAAAGTGCATTTAGATGATGTTTAAGTTTGAAGGTTCAACCTGTATTGACTGTGTGTTTGCAGGGCTACCTCCCACACTACATTTGGAGGGGCCATTGGCGCCGCTCATGCTGTGACCCCACCCATAGGGGGGTCGAGTACGTTGTCCTCGTTGTCATCTTCTTCGAACGATCGACGCGAGTTCTGTGAGCTCACCAACGGGGCGGACGAGGCCTGCCAGTGCTACTTCGATGCCACCCACAAGGTGAGCCAGCTGGAGCGCTGTCTTGATGTTGTTAGGGTGGCCCTTGAGGCCTCGGAGTGGGAGACTGCAGCCACGCAGGCAGCGGTCGCCGATGCCCAGGCCCGCATCGTGGGTTAGGGTGCTTCTTCATTTTGTTGTCTTGTTCATTTCTTGCCATTCCTGATCTTCCTGTCTTCTTGTTGTTAGCATTGGAGGAGCAGCTGGTGGCCTCCTACCACAAGACGGAGGAGGCTCACCTCTGGCAGGTTCTCCTGATGGAGGACCACAAACGCATGGTGGTGGTCAGAGTCCAGCAGGGAGCCGGTGTTGCCTCGCCGCCCTACAGCTCCACACTGGCTAGGACTTCTGTTGGGTGGCGCCTAGGTTCCCGGACCATGCTAGGCAGGTGGAGCGGGCGGAGCTGGTCAATGATTTTGCCACCGCCATGGCCACCATCATGGCCGCCATAGGCGGTGGCAAAGGACCTTAGGTTGTACCTAGGGTCTTTTAATGAATGAATTTTCTTAGTTGGTATCTAGCTGAAAGCTCTAGTTTGGTTTTGGTGAATTGATGAAACCCTAAGTGCTAACCAAGTTTATCAAAGTGATTATGAGATAGGTGGCACACTCCAAGTGGTGAAGCAAATGAAGATCATAACATA